CAAGCACATTAAATATTCCAAAAATCTAACCCCTTGGCTTTGCATGTGTACAGACTGATTTCATGTAGGAGCATCATGAAACAGGGATTACAGACGATGCTGAACCTCAATGATCTCATTACTGTATTTGTTTTCTCAAAACCACAAATCCTAGCGACACACTGACATCAAACAAAGAATCATTAGTAAATAGACTTATTTTTGAGTATACTAGGTTAATTCTCAAATATCCCTAATACTCAGGTTTATGTATTGTCACATTACATACTTACCAGCTGACCTAATGAAGCAGGCTTTGGTAGAATTTTTACTTCAACTTCTTCACTGAAAGTAAATGATATTCTTATCAATCACTAAATATAACTATTTTTGAATATTTTGAATCAGATCTTCAAACCAATAAATATGGATATCTATGACATGATGTATATAAATATATAAAATTTGAACATAATCAGTCAAAGAATGTCAGAGATATAGCACTGAAACCACATTCATTAAAACAAAATGGCCACCAGTCAGCCATTTTGATTCATCTGAGAAATAAAATGCAGTGTGTCAAGGTCTCATAATGTGCAATGTATGTACCAGGTTTGAACAAAATCCATCTGTAAACAGCTGAGATCTGGTTCCGGAATGCCAGAAATGCTTGATTTTGATCCTTTGTCAGCACAAAAATGGTCACCATTTGGCCATCTTGAATCAGATCACGAAACAAATTGATATGCACAAATATGATGTATGCGTGAAGTATGAATGTAATCGATACACACATGTCTAAGATATAGGTTTGTACGTACACACAGATACACACATGTCTAAGATATAGGTTTGTACATATACACAGATACACACATGTCTAAGATATAGGTTTGTACGTACACACAGATACACACATGTCTAAGATATAGGTTTGTACGTACACACAGATACACACATGTCTAAGATATAGGTTTGTACGTACACACAGATACACACATGTCTAAGATATAGGTTTGTACGTACACACAGATACACACATGTCTAAGATATAGGTTTGTACGTACACACAGATACACACATGTCTAAGATATAGGTTTGTACGTACACACAGATACACACATGTCTAAGATATAGGTTTGTACGTACACACAGATACACACATGTCTAAGATATAGGTTTGTACGTACGCACAGATGCACACATGCACAGAGGTCAAAGCACAGAGGTCAAAGCACAGAGGTCAAATGGTTCTAATAAATGAATGTTCACTATTTTCATAATCCTGTTCATATACTTTGTGACTGTTGCATATGAAACGATCCTATTCAGTGCAAACAATCAAATTTATTTCACAGTCAATGTCATTATAGAATGGAGTGAATGATGGGATAAGTTTGATAATAAGCACATAAATGCAAAATGCATTAATTACAAAATTTTTGGGAGTAAGCAAGAATACCATAAAAAACAATCTAAGATGAACACTAATCACTACATTCACAGACTCACTAACAAATAGAGTACATGGCATTTGAAAGTGACACATAAGGTATTTTTTTCCAGATATGTCATAAGCAATTTTGACGTCCTTGTTTGTAATTAGGTATACACAAGTTACATTTATAATAGTGTTTGCATGGTATTATTTGGGTCTATCTTGGGAACCCAAATTTTTGTAATGCAGATTCAATAAAATATAAAATCAAAGAAAGCTTAGAAAGAACTCCCATGTGCTGAGAGTATTGGAGACACATTAAATATAATTCGAAATTACTTAGCTGAAAACTAATTATGCAAATCAGAAAATTAATATGAACAGATTTGAGTGTAAAACTAATGAGGTATGCGCAATGTAACAGAAAATCTATGTTTCCAAGTTTAATGGAAATGTGATTAGAACCAAAAAATTATGAATTATTATGCTTATTAGGGAATTAATATGAACAGATTTTTACCCCAAACTAATTAGTTTGTACATTGTCCTAGA